TACTTGATTTTGTAAACCCATTTGCACCCTATAGCTCTCTTCCCAAGAGGCAGTGGTACTATCTCCCAAGTTTTGTTATCCTCAAGTGCCTTTATTTTTACCTGCATTGCCTCAATCCACCTCTTGTCCTTTGCAGCTTCATAGTAGTTATTAGGCTCTTGTTCTGAAGAGAAATCAGACAAGTAACTTTGATACTTGTGTGACAGTTGATCATATCCAATGACAGCAGTTATTGGATATCTGCAAATGTTACTTTGTGTGCCTTTGTCTGCTGTTACATAATCCTTGAGCCAAATGGGAGGTTTAGAAGTCCTGCTTGACTTTCTAACAGCCTCAGCAGGTGGTATACTCAATTCTAGAATTGCAGTTGGCATAGAAGTTGGGGGATATTAAGTGCATATTGAATGGGTTGGAGAAGTTTCTGAATGTCCATGATCTAAGATAGGTACTGGGGAACTTTCTGGATTAGGAACAATGGGTGAGTCTGTAACTGGAGTTGATGTAGAATGTGGATAATACTCATGATCTAGAGTACTATGATCATAGAGTGTTCTCATGTTCAAGTCATCTAGGAAGGATTAGTCGGTTCCCTCCTTTGTGTTCTGGAAAGGAAAAACATCTTCAAAGAAGGTTACATCTCTGCTAATGAAATATACACTATGCTCAAGGTCAAGGAGTTTATATCCTTTCTGGAGTGCTGCATACCCCAATAGCACACACTTCACAGCTCTAGGCCCAAACTTGTCAGTTTTAGGCAACAATGAGGCAAAACACAAGCACCCTATGATTTTTAAATGAGCTAAAGAAGGTTGTCTATGATACAACAATTCAAAAAGTGACTTGTTTCCAAGCACTGTGGATGGCACTCTATTGATAATGTAAACAACTGTCTCAATGCAATCTCCCCAAAATCTAGATGGTAGATGACCCTGAAATCTGATAGCCGTTGCAATCTCCAAAATGTGTCTGTGTCTTCTTTCTACTCCCCCATTCTGCTGAGGTGTATAAGGGCATGAACTTTGGTGTAATATCCCATGTAGCTGAAACAATTCCCTACATTAAGTATTGAAAAACTCACTTGTCTGACCTGAACATTTTAACAGGTTTGCCAATTTAAGTTTTAACCATAGCAAGAAAATTCTTAAGGATGAAAATTACATTAGATTTCAATATTATCAGAAAGGTCCAAGTTCACTTAGTGTAATCATCCACCAATGTAAGAAAAAATTTCATTCCATTATATGTAGCAACCTTGTAAGATCCCCAAACATCCATATGAATTAGTTGAAAAGCATCAATACTTTTAGTAGCATTTACTGGAAAAGGCATTCTAGTTTGCCTTGCCAAAGGGAAAATCTCACATCTATGAACATTATTGAAATCTAAACTGTTTCTGAAACATTATAGTTTTCTAATAACTGGTAGGGGCACATGCCCCATTCTCTTGTGCCATATATCTGGATCTCCTAGCTTCATCACTGTAAAGGCTCTGTGACAATGCATCCTTTTGTGTGACTCCACTGATATCATAGTGTATAGCCCATCTTCTTCCCTATCAATCTCCTTCACCTTCCCAGACCAAAGGTCCTGAAATACACAGAATGTAGGAAAGAAGGAAGCAAAATAGTTCAGATCTTTTGTCACCTTGGAGACAGGCAAAAGATTGAACTTGAAGGCAGGAACACATAAGACATTCTTAATAGTGTCACCTTCTGATAATTGACAATCTCCTATGTGTGTAATTTTGGCAGAGTCTCCTGTGGGTAGCTGAACCTGTCCTACATTTTCTGTTTGTGTTCCATTGTGTAGTAAATCTTTATTTCCTATCATATGGTTTGTAGCTCATGTATCTACAATCCACTTAGGAATACTAATGTTATTGTAAGGAAAGGTACCTGCCATAACTGCTATATTACCACTGGATTCACCAATTGAGCTTTTGTTAAACAACTGCAAAATCTGAGAATACTGCTCATTTATGAACATGTGTGTTGGAACTCCATTGTGTGCCTCTTGCGATACATTGCTCTCTATTTGTGCTGTTGCATTAGCTCTTCTCTTAGGTTTAAAATCAGATGGATAGCCCACAACTTTGTAACAATTCTCCTTCAGATGGCCAGATTTGTTACAGACCTCAAACTTCATCAACCTGTAACAGCATGCTTTTGTGTGTCCCTTCTGATGGAAAAATTCACATTCTATACCAAAATTTCTCCTTGGCCTATTCCTTGATTGTGAAGTAAACATAGCAGTAGGCTCTACTTGTCCGGTATAAGTATTGAACTAGTTGCTTGAAATTATTCTTCTACTTTCATCTTAGACTATCATTGCATATGCTTAGTTAATAGAAGGAACATTAGGCATCATTAGAATCTAGCTTTTGGCTTGCTCAAATCTATCATTTAATCCCATTAAGAAATGCAGCAATCTCTGAAACTCCAGTTGTTCAACATAGTCCTTAACAGGAGGTGGTCCTTAACAGGAGGTGGTGGTAATATAGCATCATATTCTGCCCACAGATCTGTTAATTTCGTAAAGTAAACTGAAACAGATGAAACCTCCTGTGTTGAAGTGAAAATTTCTTTGTGCAAGTAGTAAAGCCTCGAAGCATTTACTTTGTCAAAACGTTCCTTAAGTCGTGCTCAAACTGTTTGAGCATTTTCTGAGAATAAAACACCAGTAAGAAGATGTGAATTAATGTTACTCATCAGCCACAAAGTAACAATGGTGTTGCAACGATCCCACTGATGAGCTAATCCAGATCCAAAATCACCTTTTTGAGGTGATACCGTCAACTAAGCACAGTTTGTTCTTTCCTAAGAGAGCTACTTTCATAGCTCGACTCCATAACGTGTAGTTTTCCATTCCAGTTAATAACAAGCCAATTGACAATGAACCCGGTCCATCAGATGGATGCAGATAGAGTGGGTGATTGTGATCAAGAACAGGTCCGATCGGTGTCGCACTAGTGCTATCGCCTGAATTATCATCACTCGCCATGTTTATTGTAGAAAATCACTTGCAATTACTCAACCAAATCAACGAAAAATTAGGGTTTCGATCGTGAAAAAACTCGTTTCTGATTTTGACAGAAATCGAAGAAACAAAAAAAATTGAACGAAATGAAGAAGATGCGAGTTGATTCTCTCGATTTACAACGAAATCCCTAGAATCAATTAGTAATCCGCTCTGATACCATGAAGAATTTGTGATTCGAAGATGAATATTGAGCTAAGAAATGAGAGAGAAAACAGGGGAAGAAGAAAGCTCATCTTCATTATCGATTAACCGCCTCTGTACAGTGTTAACTACCAATTATATACTAATACAGTTGTACTAACTAATTGCCAACTATAGTTAGTTAAACTATGATTAGGCTAAACTTTAGTTATCTTAAGTTACTTCACTACTCAATACATTCATACTCTTAACATATAGTCGCTGTAAAAATAATAGCCGAAAAAATATATAAAATTTGTATATTTTTTCTGTATATATATATAGACATACATTTTGTATGTTAATATACAAAACCTATACAAATTTTATATACTTTTTCGGCTACCAGATGTAAATAGTTTATGGCACGGGCTAAAAATGATAATACAACCTGGTTATTCGTTTGCTTTAATAATATGCCTAGAAGTGATTCTGGCAGCTCTATTTTTTTCAATTTTAATTTTTCTTTTTGGAAAAATCAATCGACATTTTTAAATGTATATATATACAAAAATTATACAAATTTTATATATTTTTCAGCTATTATTTGTACAGCGGCTATACAATATCATTTTCTCATTGAAAACTGGCATAGAAGGAGATATTTTCAAGGTCAAAATTTTAGAAGAAATTATCTAAAAATGAGGAATTAAAATGATAATTTGCCTTATTCAATAAAAGGAGAAGAAACGTTGCTTCATAGCAGAAGATTTGCTTAATGAATCAGAGTTAGGTAACACCGTTAGTTTTGAACACATTGTGTCAGTGAGACTAAAAGTGCTCCACTTTAGCATACTTAATGGACTAAATATATTCAAGGTTATATTTGAGGGATCAAAATAGACATACACTCAAAGATAAAGATAAAGGACAATATTGTTCAAAAATTTGAACAAGCAAACATAAAACAATCCTCCCATGGGCCTATTTAACATTACTACAATGTGTAAATCACTGAATGGTCACCTCATCTAATAAGTCAATCTATTAAAAATGAGAAATTCAACTCCATGTAATAAATTGTGTTAGCGCACTCTTTTTCCAAGAACAATGTGAGTCTAGGACAGCTGCCGAAATGTTTCAATGAGGAATCCTTTTGTTCCATGCAGAAGACAAAGTCCTCTCCCGACAATGCACTTAGAAATTTCAGAACATCCCATGTATAATGCTAAAAAGATGCTGCGCACAATGTCAAAAGCTTGCTCTTCTTTAGTTGTATGCTACATTAGCTGGATTTAATTAGTTCAGCACCAGCTCGTCGTGTTCACCAATGTTTCTGCTTTGTGTTCAGCACCAAGTATTCCTTGTTTCTCCAACTCTTGGGTCTCTGGCATAGTTCTCTTCATCCTTTTAGGAGCCACTTCAGAATATTCTGATTCCACTCAATATGAAATCATATATTACGGTGATCATCTCATATAAAATCTTAAACGGTTATACAGAACATATATTTATTTACTTAATTAACCCTTAAGTACGTCAAGACTCAGCTCATGACATATGTCTACTGTAATACCATTTTAAAAACAATGTGACCAACTTTATCCAAAAATTTATACATATCCAACACCGTGGTTTTGTTTTCCTTGTGCTTTTCACAAAAAAGGAAAAAAAATAATTGGTACAATTCTTGTTACCATTCTCTGTATCTTTGCTGTCCTTACAGAATAAATTGGATGCTAATTCCCACCTATGATTAATTTTTTCCTTTTAGACCAGCAAACTGTTTGAATTGCCAGTGTTCGAATCATAGCTAAGAGAGAAAATTAAACTCCTGCTAAATGGAGGGAGCTTCAACATATAAAAGAACTCTACAACTGAAAATCTCGTCGAGTATGAGGCAAAGGAGAAGTGGTTACGAGCCATCAGATACTGAGACAGACTGGACGTTGGACAGTCCACACCGTGAAGCAAATGCAAACAATGAAAAAGAAATACATCTTGAAGAACCTGAAAGCGAAGAGCAAAATCTAGCATTGCAGAAAGCAAAGGACAATAATTTTTTGAATGTAAGCCGGAGGACTAATGTCCCCAGTCCTGCTCGAAGGAGAACTACTAAGTCTCCTTATAAGCCTCGTAGAGATACCGATGATGATGTTCATTCTCCTGCAAAAGCTTTGCCAAGAAGTGTTAGCACATTTGCACGCAGGCCTGATTTATATTCTCGTAGAAATGTTAGTTCTTTTCAAAAATCTGAGTACCATAGACATACATCTCCATATAAATATGAGGATGAATTTGCTGATTCAAATAGAAAGCAAAACAATGTCCATAGTAGACTCGGTGAGAAATCAAATTATAATCGCAGGTATGCTTCTGCTCCTAGACCTGACAGACAACATAGGTTTGATGCTTCTAAGGAGCGAAGGAAAGCAGATAAGACGCTGTCCCAATTGCCAAATAGGAGCTTGTCGCGGAAAGAGAGGGAAACTCTGAATAAGCATGGACCTACAGGAGGTGAACTAAATGAAATGATTGCCAAAGCAAAGATTTCTGGAAGCAGTACAGGCGTTAATCATATGTTTGAAAGCACAGAAACCATTGCACCTGGTGATATTTTCTTTTCTCAGGATTATGCAGCCTTGACTATGCAGCAGATTACTGAAAACAAATCCAATAAAAAGACTCAGGTACTGACTGATAGGAATGTTGTACTATCTGTGAAAACACCTGCCAATTTTAATAATCAGAGTAGCAGAAGGAATTTATCGAGTAATACTATGACTCGACCAACTATGAGCGCGAGCTCTTCAGTAAGTAGGCAGAGCAGCACTTTGAGTGAGGCTAGTGGAAGGACAACTGCAAGTATGAAAAGGTTCACGGCGAACAGGCAAAAGAAGCAATCAGAAGCATGGTTTTCTTGTCTCAACAAGGGATCTTGTAGAACCTCAAGAAGAGAATCTCCAGAAAGAGGGCGCCCGATTGATGAAGCTTTAGTTATTGCCAAGGCATCTATAGTTGAAAGCCTGAGACCCTTTTGGGCTGATAGGTATCAACCTGTTTCACTAGAAGAATTCACTTGCCACAAGCAAGAAGCTTTACTACTTAAAGACCTGGTAAAGACAAGAGGAAATTTTGTACTGGTAGTTAACTTTTTCTGCTTAGATTACACAAGTTTCTTTGCTTTTCTAATGTTTTTCTTTTAGGTTTCTTCAAATGAAACCTTTCCACAAATCTTATTCAAGGGACCTTCTGGCTCTGGGAAGAGAACTCTCGCGATTGCTCTTCTTCATGAAATCTATGGAGATGCAATCTGCAATGTAAGTAGAATGACATTTATTAGAAGATATAGAGCTATGCTACATTTTTTACGGTTCATCAGTAGAAATCTTCAACTTCTTTATGTTCTTGTTTGCAGATATCCCATGATCTGAAATACTTCCAAATTAAGGTACCTTAGGCTTGATTTCTTTTCTGCTATTTATTCATTTTTCTGATCTTCATAAAATCAAAATTAATTATGCGGCTTAAACTTCTGTGATTTTCAATTGATCTCGATCCATCTGTTAAGCAGTTAATGTTTGTAAACACCACACTTTTAACCAGCAACCTTTATTTGGTAAATTGGAACGCCAAGCAGTTAATGTTTGTAAACAACACATAACCACATTGTTAACTAGCACCCTTTATTTGGTAAATTGGAATGCCATTTTTATTGCATAACCAGTACCAAGTAGTATCAGTTTTTTTTTTCTCTTCTTATCCCCTATTTGTTGATAGGAAACAAGGCCAGTGCAAGTTGTTGTACCAGTAAGCTCAAGTCCTCACCATATAGAGCTGAACGTTCGATTGGAACCTAATGCTAGATATGCAATAATGGCTTTTGTTAAGCAAATAAGTAGCGAGTATGCACTGACCCCTGAAATCAGCAGAGTGAATATGAAGGCTGATTACAAAGGTAATCATATCTATCAATGCAAAAACTATTTTAACATTGTAGTATCACTTCAGTCTTGATATCTAATAATAAATTGTTACTTACAGTAATAGTTCTGTATAATGTGGACAAAGCTGCAGAGAACATACAGCACCTAATAAAATGGATAATGGACTGCTATTCAGATGCTTGCAAACTCATTCTCTGCTGTGAAGATGATGTATCCATACTTGACTCAGTGAAAAGCCACACCAAAGTTGTTGAACTATCAGCTCCTGTAACTCATGAAGTAAGTCTCAAAGTAGTACATTGTAAAATAATTTACATTAACATTGACTACAAATGTAACACGTATGTCATCTGAAAAATGAGTATCGTTCATATCTTCAACAAGACACGAGAAATTTCCTTCTTACTTAATCTTTTGCATTGCTTAGATCATGGAAGTTCTTACTCAGATAGCAAGAAAGGAAGATTTTGAACTACCAATGGGCTTCGCGGCTAAGATAGCTGCCAAATCAAAGCAAAACCTGAGGAGAGCAATTATGGCTCTTGAAGCCTGCAAAGCGCACAAGTAAGACTAATACTTACAGATTATGCTCCTGCTAGTTTGTGGATTACTAATCCACATACTTAATACAGCTATCCCTTTGCCGAAGACCAACCAATTTCAATAGGATGGGAAGATATTGTAATAGAACTTGCAGCAGAAATTCTAGCTGATCCCACCACAACGAGGTACTTCTTTCCTTGGTTCCTTTTTCAATTTATTTCTTTCCTTCATTTTGTTTGTAAGGAAATTATGGATCCACTTTAGACTGTTAGTTCACACAATGCATAAACTACACATTTTCCTACCGGTGCAACAGGTTATTCTCTGCGCGGGGAAAGTTTCAAAAACTTCTGGTGGAGTTTGTACATCCAAAACTTATTCTCCTGGTAAAGTATAGTACTTTAATGAGGATGGTTGAAGAGGTAATATTTAAGGGAGATCTTAACATGATCATTGTTCAATGCATGCAGAAACTAGTTGAAGAATTCCTTAAAAGGGTTGATGCTGGTATAATAAGGGAAATTTATTATTGGCATGCTTATTATGTAAGTTCTCTCCTTCTATATTAGAATATTTATTTCAGAAAACTTCATTGAATGACTGAGGACGATCTGCAGGAGAAAAGGCTTCCTCTTGGAACAAGTGCTTTGTTAAAATTAGAAGGTACCTTGTTATGCTATGTGTATATAAGACATTTTAAGTGTCATCAGTTCTCTTCACCTGGATTGTTGATAGATTTATATGTATGACTGCAGAATTTGTGGCAAAATTTATGAGCATTAACAGGAAAAATTTCGGCAACCGTCAGCAGTTTCACTAAAATTCGTGACTACATGGAGGCTATTATGATTGAGGGAAGGCTCAAATTTTGGCGCAACAGGTCTTCCCCTTTTATCAAACAGTCTGCATTCACGATGGGATAACAGTCATTCTTGGGAAACTATGTCAGGTTGTAAAGATTATCTTATGTGAATGTGGCGATGCATACAAACAGAAAGCTGTATGCATCTGGTGTAAGTTTTTTGGAAATTCTTGAACTGGTCCGTCATATATGTGAGAGACAAATCACGTACTACTATTATGTAATATTATTTAGAATTCATTATACTGTATGTCCAAATCAATCATAAAGTGATGGTCGACTCACTCTACAAAGTCTATTTTTTTAGTCTCTTGTATTGCTGTGTGCATTGTCAAATCTTGTTTGAGAGTGCAATAGCTACTTTCTCTATCGTTCTTAACAAAAAGTATAACGTACTTTATTAATTTTGTATAAGCACTAGCACATCTTTTCCTGAAAGAAAAGAAAAAGTTCGTTGTTTCCACTTCTTGTTATTTCTTTACATCTACTTGTTCTTATTTAACAAAAAACAAATTACCTACTGGATACAGACTTTAATAAATACCTAGTAATATTTTTTCTAGGACTTTCCATCCAAAAACATGTGGAGTGCCTCCAGTTTTATCATTCAAGCTAAGCCTCTCAATGCACTTTAATGACTTCAAAAGAACGACAAGACTTTAAAAAACAATATATGAAACAAAACATTCCTATGCACTAAGGGTGTGAGCTTTGTTCCACAGGTCAGTTATAAGGTAATTACAATATTTTCTCTATGATAATTATTATTCTTTAGTAACCTGATAAAAATAATAATTAACATGTTATTAGAAATTAAGAATCACAAATCGTATCAATGTTTTAAAAGGTATTTCTGAGACTCACCCGGGGGCTCGCCCCTAGGCGAGACACTTGTAAAACGCCCTGGGGCTCATATATGAGGCTCAGTTCTGTGAGGCTTACACCCCAAGCGCTCGATTGTAAGCCCTAAACACGCCTAATGCCCAATGTTCGGGGCTCGCCTAACAATTCTAAATCAAATCACGTGTCGAATTTCCTAATTAGCATTATTGACCCTCAAAAATTTTTATCAAATTAATGATAAAAGTTCTATTCATGAATAGAAATACGAAGATTGAGCGTAACTCAAATAGAGAACCATAGTACTGCGTTTTTGTATCTTCACTTGTTATTGGTCGTGTCTTGTTCATACATCTCTCCTAATTATAGACTTTTATTAATTTAATATTTTAAACTAATTTATATTTACTCATGAATGAATAATATTTTAATTATAGTACTGACAAGATTTACTGATTATTCACTTTTAAGAAGGCAAAATGTAGAGTTTGATAATATCTTTTAAGAACTTATGATTCTTTAATTGTTTGAAAGTTAAGACGTTATACGTGATTTGCCTGTGTTATTACACTTACGAAACATGGCATATATTTTGTTTTCTGTGATTTCTTTAATTTTTAAACTTTCAATTTATATTTTTATGTTTTTATTAATTTAAAATTAAAAATTTTAAAGGCCCATGAGGCTTATGCTCTCTGCCTCAAGGCTTTCGCCTCGCCCCATATCAAGTAAACGCTCCGACTCACACCCCTGCACTTTAAAATATTGAATAGTATCCATTCAAATATTAGGCATGTCAAGAAAAGAACGCCAATTGTCATAAATCTTTCTTTATTTAAGTATATTTATGTTGATGAGAAGATTTTGTTTCTTTCCATTTTATGAGTAACAAAAAGGAAGGGCTTAAAGTAATGAACATATTTATTGCTATTACCTTGATACAAAGATTTAGGCCTCATTTGTTTACACTTAACGGAGGTCTGAATCTTAATCATTCAGATCTCAGACATTAAGTGCGTTTGTTTTTAAAGTCTGAATCTTAATTATTCAGATCTTAATTATTAAGTGTGTTTTTTTTTACTTCACAGTCACTTATTGGGTCTGAATAGGTCTGTATGATTAAGATCTATAATAGAGACTTAATTTATTAAGATGCTATTACATATTCATTATTAACTGTCGCAACCGCCTACCATTATCAACTACCACCATGCCACCACCACCACCTCCACCACCACCATGCCACCATCATCCTCAATCATAGCCGCCACCGTTATCGACCATCACCACCCGCTATCTCAACCACTCCAACCGCCATAATCATTCTCACCCACAATCAACACTCATCCACCTTAACTAGCACAACTGACCACCCCATCACCATCAACAACCACAGCCGGTACTGCCCATCATTATAACCTACCACCACCAACCCACCACCTTCATCAGTCACAACTACTACCATCACCCGCCATTATTAACTATCACCACCCACCACCACCATCCTCAATCATAATCGCCATCACTACCAATCACTACTAGCTACAAGCATGAACTACCATCATCAACCAAAGCTACCACCAACCACCACCTCTAGTCGGCATTCACCTGTTAGCTATCACCACCAACAACTATCGTGTTTTAAAAAACTATATATTTTATTGATAGAATTTTAGATTAGTTAGTATTTCATTTGAATTTTATGTTATTAATTTTCAATAAAGATAAATTTTATATATTCAGATGTTAAAAATCAAACAGTCTTAGTTATTTCTATTCAGATCTTAATATACATCTTAATATATTCAGATGTGTGTTCAAATTCAAATGTCTTAATTTTAATACAGATTTTGATATTCAGTGTATTCAGATTCAGACGTCTTAATCTTAAAAAGAAGTGAAGCCTTAGATTGAGGTAGATTATACTGGATCTTCGAAATCTGTAAGTAAAAAGGAAGATACAAATAAAATGACGAATGAGTAAGGTGGAAAAAGATAGAAGCATTTATGTTATTTCCTTCCCAAGCGGAAAGTAGAACATTTGCCTTAACTTCACTTTTCCATTTCTAAATCCAAGAAATTTTTGGAATATCTTTTTCATAGTGAGCACAGGAGTGCGACAACCGTTACATCAGTTTTAGAGTGTAGAAACTACGTGGCGATCTCTAATTGGCCGTCTTAGTTTTCAATTTCCTATGGAACTGTTCCTTTGCTTTTACTACCACTTGAAGATCCTTTTCCCGAGAAGCCAAAAAAATAAAATAATGGGGTCGATGCCGTGAGACCTTATCAACCGTTCGATTTAAGCAAATTGACAATCCAACGACTCATGTTGACTAAATGACTGACGAGTGGAAACTTTTGCCACAAAGCGAAAATGACACATAGCACCCCCCACAAAAGTTGTATATATTGCGACTCACAAAAGAAGAAAATAAGAAGAATAGTTCTATCACCACCTCTTAACTTCAATCGAAAAGCTTGTGCTTCTTATTCACCCATTTTCTTTCTGTAAGTTATTCATCGTTTAGTTCTTTTCCCTTTTTCCATTTGATTGTTTTAATTCATTAGTATAAATAAGTTTGTTTTCAACAGACTTGCTTCATGGGTACGATTAAATTTCAGTTCCTTTAATATGTTTTTGAGTTTTTCTTTTGGATTTCTGTTTTTGGGTCGATTTTTGCAAGTGGATTTTGCTTCGGCTTGTCCCATTTGATTGCTTTAATCAACAATTGCATATAGCTTTTGGGAAATTTCACTTTCTTAAGCCCTTTTGTTTCCTGGATGGCTGATCTTACACCTCTTTCAATCTATACTCCATCTATTAATTGCTTTTTTTTTGGCGGTGGGGTGGTGGTGGGTGTACCTGTACATGCAAGAAAAGTGTCAAATTGACTACATTACTGATTGATTCCATAAATTCAAGTCGGTTGTGATTTTGTTGTTACCATAAGGTAATCTGACAGGAAAAAAAGACATTCTTATCTGCTAGTGAAGCAGTTAATTTGTTCATGTGAAAGGTATTGCTAGTAACCATGTTCTGAAAATTTATATCCTGATTGATCATAATTTTTTTTTTTTTTTTTTGGCATTTTTACATTGAATTTTCAACGACTCCATATATATGCTTAATGTTGCCTTTCCTTTTTCTCTTGTTAAGCTTACTATGGCTGAAAATAATGGACAAGGGATTGGAAGATATTCAGGAACCTCTCGTGTTGCACTCAATGAAAGAATTCTCTCCTCTATGTCACATAGATCTGTTGCTGCTCATCCATGGCATGACTTAGAGATTGGTAAGATTAGCTATTTTTATCTAACATATAACAAGAAAAATGAAAAAGAAAGTAGAAAGCTATGCATGTGTATTTCTTTTTAATCAGCATCGGTATATCATGTGTATCGATTTCAATGTCTGGAAATTATTTCATGGTCTTGTTATACATTGCGCAGTGTGTGGTTTGGTGTCTTTTTGTACTTATGCTTGATGTTCTGTAAATGCAGGGCCAGGTGCACCCGCAATCTTCAACTGTGTAAGTGTTTACGACAGATTATAGTACTTTTTTTCCAAATATTCTTGATAAAGTACTTAAGTTACTCCAGCAACCAGAATCTTCTTATACTGGCTGTACTTGTCTAGTTTTGCTTATGTAGTGCATATGACTTTTAATTCTTTCCAAAAGATACTTGATGAAGTGCTAACATTGATTGAATGTAGCAAAGTGTTTTGATATATGCATACTGATTTATCTTTGAATTAGCGGCCATTCTCAACTGGAAAAATATAACAAAGGTTGGCACTGTCACATACTGGAAAAGAATTCAAATATATTTGCACGTCGATATTATATCATCCTCGTAGCTGTTATTATCTGTCTGCGGGATGTTCACAAGTACTAAACAGATGGCGTTAAGTTTCATTCAAACTAAATGCTTAGACTTATGTGGCAGGTGGTTGAAATACCCAAAGGTAGCAAAGTGAAGTATGAGCTTGACAAAGCAAGTGGCCTTATAAAGGTACTATCTTGACCAGTGATCTTTCTTTCTCTTCCGGCAGGAAAATATCTGTCTCTATTTCTATTTCAAGGCGATTTCTATTTTCCTTTTTATAACTCCCC